GCATGTGCAAAATGTTCTGTAGATGGACTCTACAACTGCACCTGCCGCCTACTCTCCTCACTACTTATCATAGCATATGCGTGTGAAAGAGTAACCTCATCCCTGGCCAAAATGTTCTGTCTGATAATATCAAACTCAGGGTTGAGTCTAGTGAGAAATTCAAACACCCTATTTCTCTCCACTACCTTTCTATACATTTTAGCATCCTTTTTACTCTCCCATACCACTGTTTCCATAACATCAATTTCCTGCCATAGGGACTTTAGTATGTAGTAGTAGATTGCCACACTCTTCTCCCCCTGTCTCAGGTTCTTCACATAACTTTTCAATTTGTATGCTCTGGCTACATTCAGTTTCTATGAATAGGTCTTAGTTACACTGTCCCATATTTCCTTAGCCGAAGACATCCAGAGATAGTGCTGGCTTATATGAGGTTGCATAGAGTTGACTAACCATCCTATAATAGTATAGTTCTCTTGCATCCATTTTTCAAATTCAGGGTTTGCCTGTTCGGGTTTCACCTTGCTGTCTGTGAGATACCCGAGTTTTCCTCTACTACAAACATACATTTTTATAGACTGTGCCCAAGCAAGATAGTTCGTCCCATCTAGCTTAATTGTGGTAACACTCGTCAAAATGGAATCTACTGGAGCAGGTCTAGAAGATGGCACCTGCTTGAACTCACTTCCATATGTCTCCATTAATCAAATGGAAATCAAAGAACAGAAAATTTTGACTATGTGAATTACTTGAAGTCAAACCAGAACTTGGGTGCTTGAAAGCTAGGGTTTTGCTCCGTTCAGCAGATGGGCGGGAGAGAGAAGACACTGCYGCACCTACCAGAGTAACCCAAACTCTTCCAAATCTGAACCACCCTCCTTTATCAGTCACAAGACCCCTTCCAAGCACAGAGCGCCACACCCAAGCTTCACCTTTCCTGGTAACTCGAAAATATCTAGTCGGCTAGGGTTTCGGGTAGCAGCAAGACAACATCACTTCTTGGCAAAATCTGGCCAGAACTAAACTCTCCAAACCCTTCTACCAACCAGGCAAGTGATTCTCTATACTATAGAGAACCTATCTCTCCATACACTCTCTTGATTTTAGAGTGTACAGAAACAAAAGAAAAAAAGAAGAAAGAGGAACTGAACCCGCTCTGATACCAAGATGAGAATCAGTCCTCTAATATCAGGTTTAAAATTAGTGATTAACAGTACAAATCAGATCTGAATGATAGTGCAAGAGCTGTGTGTGTCGAAGAGAAGAGGTAAGAGAAGAAGTCGAATTAGTATACCCTTAAGTGGGTGGCCAGTTGCAAGTTACATAAAGAAAATAAAATAAGAACAAATAACAGGCCCATTAAGTGAGGCCCATCAACATAAAATAAAAGATAAAATAAAGGATATCAGATAAGAGGCTGTTAGGGCCCATTCGGCCCACTCTCTTTACAAAACATTTTATCCTAATTAGGCCAATCTTTAATGTTGGGGAATCAAAAGGTCATAATAAATGCTTATTAAGAACTAATCTCATACCATATTCTCATATGTGGCATGAGCAGAAAACAGAGGATAGAGGACAAATGGCAAACTAACCCTATATTCTGCAAGTTGGGGGATCAACATACTCCACACCTTAGAGGATGAGCAGAATAAGAGTTTGCGTACTTTAAGATAACCACAATGACACAAAAACACAAATGAAAAATAAAAAATAACTGAAGAAAACATACATTGAATACCATACATATACCTTGAGGACAATAGTGAGATGAACCGTTGAATATGGAGTATGAGTCATATTGTATGTTGGAAATCTGCCTCGACGTCTTGGAGTCAAATAGCCATTTTTTTTTGTATTATTTTGTATGTATATGCACTGTGCATATTTTAGGCTAAGTTTGGGAAGAGTTCAAATACAAATATGTACAGTGCAAAAACATGTAATTTGTATTTATAAACCTTGTTTTGCGCTGTACATATTTGCATCCCTACTCCTCTCAAACTGAGCCTTAGTAAAACTTCTTTCTTTCTATTTACAGTTCACTCCGGAGAAAGGTGTGGCTCAAAGAGAAATGAGATAGTCTTTATATCACCTATTGGTGAGGAAATCAAATACGAGAAACAGCTAGAGCAATTTCTGAAGGCCCACCATGGAGGCCCTTCTGCTGGGCACTGATACTCTCTCTCTCCACCTGCCCCTGCTAAAATCTAAATGCTCACGGACACTTGAATGGCTATGCACCTGCAATAGTCTCTATATCTTGCTTGCAGTTGACACACCCCGGCATTCTGCAAGGAGCCAGGGACCATTGAGAAGGCTAAGGCAACAGAGACCCTTGGAAAGTGAACCCCTTAAAACAGAGAAAAGAAGTTAAGCTAAAAAAAGGGAACTAAGGCGAAGGATAATGTGGATGGTGAAAGTAAAGGTTGAATGGTTCCTTGGGGATGGTATCAAAGCCTTTTTGACCAAGTGGTCTAGTGTTCAATCCTAATAGCCTCCATTATAATTTATTAGATTTTAGCATAAGGTATGGGTCCTGTGTTTGTCCACGCTTTCCGGATGGGTTTTGCGTGAGGTGGCATGTTAGAGAATAAATACCTATTTAGGTACCTCACCTAACAGCTTAAAACTTTTAAGTATGGTTCCTTGAGATATGAAGGTGAGGAAGCTTTTGCAACTACAGAAGGAACGAAGACAAATGCGCAGATGTTGAAATGGATGAAGCAGAGAAATGGAGGGGAAAAGAAAGAAGAACTGCTACCAGGGGAACAATGGAGGTTGAGGATTGTATAAAGCAGGATTCTGAGCAGAGCAAAAAGGAAAAGGTTGAGGAGGAATCTGAAGACCAAGGACAACATAAAGAGAACACAGTGGAAGAACAACCAACAGAGTCAAGGAAGCTAATGCAATTCCTAAAGAGGAGAAGGGTGGAAGAAGCACCCTCTGAAGAGGGCAAGGTGGGAGAAGAGACCTCTGCAGTTTAAGAAGCTTGAGCAGGTGAAAGTTAAAACTGTTACCATCAACCATGTATTGCCATTTCCTTGTTCTATTTTTTTTTTTCTCATCTTATTTTCAGCCCTTTCAGGTGGTAACTGTAGTTGGTGGTGATACAATTTGTTGTAATTACCATTCAGGCTTGTTGGAGCGCTTGCCTAATTGTGCAACCCTTCTGTATCTGCAACACTATGTGCCATAATTGTTATTTATATGCATAATTAACCAACATCTTTTTATACCATTTTGATCTGAATTTGTAAGCTTATGATTCTTGACATTGAGATTGAGTACCTTAATTATTAACCCTCTATATGTTAATTAGCTTTGTGAACATATTCAGTACTTCATTATTAACCCTCTATGGTTAACTATGCATGATGGTCCATCACAACAATTCAATTGTGTATGAACACGTTCTCAGCGATGTTTGGTATTGTGGTGCTGTTGAGTGTCCGTTGCATTTATGCATTGGAATCGGGAAAAAACGGTCTGGGCATGAAGTGCGATGTGATTAGACCTGGCAATTGGGTTGAGTTGGTCGGGCTCGGGTTGGGTCAAGGTATTTTGGGTTGAATTTTTGGTTGGGTTGTCAAATGCTAGACCCTAGCCCTAAGTGTTCGGGTTAGGGTTGACCCATGGGTCAATTCGGGTCATTTCAAGAAATAATTGAAATTTAAAAAAAATGAAGAAAATTACATGAAAATGTCAAAATTAAAAGAATTAATCTTAAAATTCCAAATATAAAATAAAAAGCTTGAACATTTAACAATTTAAAGAATAAATAATAAAAAGTAAAGACTAAATAGAAAAAATTAAAGAGTCGTAACTTCTAACAATGCATAAATTATCCCAATTAAACTTGACAATCGGGTCAGCGGGTTGACCCATGACCCAACCCAACCCAGTTTTTTTCGAATTGGGGTTGGGTCAGGTCGGGTCATTTTCACATTTGGGTAGTTAAAAATGAAACCCTAACCCCGTTTTTCGGGTTGGATTGGGTCGGGTTCGTGGGTTGGGTCAACTTTTTGCCAGGTCTAGATATGACAATTGTTTATGTTTTATTAAGCACCATTAGGCATCACATAGGTGAAACAGAAACCAAAAGCAACTTTGCAGTAGTTGGCTATGTTGGTTCTGTTGGCGTTTATTAGATAAATGCTGCCACATCAGCACCATTTAGGTGTTGTCATTTATTGTACATGAAACCGCTATTTGGTTTCAACATTTATCAAATAAACATTAAAAAACAGAAATAATTAGATTTATGTGCATGAGGCGTTGGGAGAAACTTCAAATTCTGCTTTCTCCCAAAGCCCTAACGTTGTTGAAAATGAAATGCTTACCTGGAGCATTGTAAGCTGAGGTGGAAGTTAGTTTTATGGGGTATTATTTGAAACACCCAACCAAACAACAAAAACAATAAACGTTTAAAGTAACATTTTTCAAGTAAACATCTATATGAGAAACACTGCAACACCCATGGAACCAAACACATATGTTGTTTACTTTAGGCTAACTTCTTAAGTTTTAGGAGTCTAGAACTGAAAAAAAATTCTGGGCATTCGTTATGTGGAGGGTTTCTTTTTTAGCTTCAAGAGAACCATTTTCTCCACCATCCAAGTGTTTTCTCATGCTGATTTTTGGCCTGGTTGATCTCCCAGACCCATCTAATGATGGGTCCTGACTGATGCCTGAAGCGTAGAACAGGTTGTAAGTTATGGGGTCCCATGCCCAGACTCTGGTTCTACTAGGATTGTCATATTTTTGTGAAGATTCTGCTTCCAAATATCCAATTCCAAACAAACACCAGTTCTTTCTACCCAGGTGGAAAAATAAAATTTAGTCCTTTCCTCCCGGCAAAATGATCTGACAAAGCATCCTACATTAAACCAGTTTTACTTGTTCAATCTTACTTAACTCATATCCAACTTTCTGATAATAATCCTGCCGCAGAAAGCAAGCAATCTTTATTCTGTTGAAAGTTCTTTTAGATCCAATGCTAATCGAAAATAATCTTTCCATATTCACAAATTGATACATAGAATAACAGTGATCTTATGTAATTTCCACTCAAATGCACCACAAAATCAAAATAATCTGTAATAAGAAAACCAATATAATCTGTAAACAAAAAAAGAATCAGAGATCTCCAATCGGAACCAATATGGGTTCCTTAGCAGCATAGAGGGCAGATAATCAATCCATTCTCATTGCATTCTGGGCATCGGGTGGGCGACCCATCAGTCCCAGGACTGACTCTGCAACTGCCACAGCAATTGAAACACAGCACAAAACGTATCCCAGAACAACCCTCGCAGGGGCCATCGGAGTGATCCATTGGGACCCCTTGGAGCAGCTGCCGAAGCTTACCTTGCTCGTGCAAGCTTACGACCTCGTCAGCTCCCCCGATGTATCGTCCCTTTATGAACAGCCTCGGAGGAACTACTCTACCTCCCAAGATCCTCCACAGTTCCTCCCTGAACTCCAAATGCATCGACACATCCCTCTCGTAGAACAGAATCCGGAAGCTTCCCAACAGAAATCGGATGCTGCTGCAGTCCTCGAATGTCTTTCGTATCCCCCGAAGATTTGTTGTGTAGAGAATCACAGAGTCGCTCCCCCCCGGAGGGCACTTCTCTTCGAATTCCAGCAGAGGATTGTCCTCTATCCGAGGAACTTTGGTTGGTGGTTCCTCTTCTTTCTCTCCGCTCAGTTGTTCAATATTGGCTTTTCTCTCGACTTCATTTGCTCTCATGTGCTCCATCACTGCCTGCTGGAAGGCCGCTAGCAGGTTTGGATCAAATAGGCTCCATGAATTCATGTCCGGCCGTCGGAAAGACGAGATGTCGATCTCTGTTAACGAGCCTTGCCAAAGATTAGACGTTCCACACTCTGAAGAATTGGGAATCTCTGAACTGTTTTTGGCCGGTGCTGTGTCAGGCCGCCGGAAAGAGGATATGTCGAGCTCTGCCAATGGGCCATTCCGAAGATTACAGCTTTCAGACTCTGAAAAGAAGGGAGAATCTGAATTTTCCTTTGCGGGCAATGGGTCCCTGGCCTTTAGGGGGGGCCGGATGTTTTCTTTGTTCCCAACATCGTCGCCGCCCAACTCCATTTCTTCAGTTTCTTCGTCTTCCAGGTCTCTCATCAATTCCTCAATATCGATATCAGGCTGCAACACGGGGAGATTTCCATGGCTGTTGGTATTCTGATCTTGTGCTTTAAAAGCCGGTGGATTCTGAAATACCCGGTTGGTGGAATCGTGCGGCAAGGGATCTAAGAACCCATTAGCCTGAAGAACTCGACCTGGATTGAGGGAAGTGATGGGTCGAAGAGGAATAGATTTCAGTTTCTTTAGAAACCTTCCTTTCACACCCTTCATCCCTTCTTTTCCTTCTCCTCCTCCTCGTTAACCGCCACCGCCGGAACCCAGTTCGAGTACAGGTGACAGAAGTACAAAGAAATCTGAGAATTTCGATTTGATGAAGAGAGGAAGTCGTGTTTCAGCTGGGGGAGAGATTAGAGAATTCCGTTTTCTGCTTTTGGCCTAACGAAGAGGGTCTGTACTCTGTTTTGGTTTCAACGGCTATAAAGCTAAATTGCATTTTTAAATTTTGAAAATTATTATAGCAGCCAAAAGCGAACAAATGGGAGGCAGGGTGTGGGCAACGGTCATAATTTACTTCCCCTACTATGGGACCAAAATGATCAATCAATGACTCGAGTATGTTGGGACAGAGTATGCAGAATCCAGATGGGTCATCCTTGATCCTTGTCCTTTTTATAGACCGGACAGCGTCCCTTGTTTCAGGTCTTAATCTCTTAGACTTTATAGGCAATTTAAGCTTGGGTTGTTCTGCATTTGGATGATCGGGATCCACCATCAAAGGGTCATAATTTGGACATATGTCTCGGCAAAATATCAGCTTAAGGTTAATCCAAATCAATGTGTAGGTGTTTGACACCGGAGCGTTTCAAAAGCATTCCGTTTGTTTTTGTTGATATATCATTCATGCCACATCAGCAATTAAATGGAATATTGAAAAATTTTCATTGGCGATTTGTTTTTCAGAAAAAATGTTTTTGCAATGATTAGTTTTAGGATTCAAAAAGGAGGGGTTTCTGACGATTTTTGAATCACCAAGTTGATTTAATGCATTAAAATTTGAAAAAAGCTGACTTCTTTTTTGAGATGTCATATAGTTATCATAAGCCAAATCACTTTAAATGCCTAGTCAAATATGATTTTTTGTGTTTTTTTTTTCTAAGAAAACAGGTGCAATGAAACGCATCGAAAAACACCTATAAAACAAAATAACTATGAAACGCTATAGTGCCAAACACCCATTGTGAATTTTGATGCTAACCCTTAGAGGGTGGAAATAGGATTTATGTTTTACCAAAGAAGAGAAAAGGGAAATTCTTTGAAAGTTGATGATGATCAAAAGTTTGCAATCCCTACTGGCGAAGATAACTTGGAGATCGAATGCCAACTATGGTGGTTGACCTGTGAAAAAACAATATCAGAGAACCCAAATGGATGTCCTAGGCAAGGGTCTCGGACGTTTAAGTCAATACTGGCTGAGCTCTCCGAGGTGGTGAACAAATATATAAGCAGGAATCGGAGTGAGCAAGTGAGTATGTGTGCATATATGTGTAAGGTGGTGTTTGATAAATCTGAAATCTGAAGTCTGAAAAGTTAAAAAAGATATTAAAACCATCTGAAATCTGAGAAGAGGCATTGATGATTTTCTACTTTTCAGAGGCTCTGAATACTTTGGTTTGTTTGTGTTGGACCAAACCGTTAACATCTGAAATACCTTGTTTTTACTATTTTATCCCTAAAATAGACTATTTGGTAAATTTGAGCTCAATTTGTACTATTTCATATAAAATAATTTACCAAATTCAAAATAATATTAAAATCATATAACATAAATAATAATTACGAAAAATAATTAATAATTAATAAAAAATATAATTAAATTAATAAAAATAATTAATCACTATAAAAAATAATAAATTATAAAAATTAGTGGTAACTAATTAATAATTAATAATATTGAACTAACACGACTAAAAAATAATTGATAATAATTACTAAAAATAATTAATAATTAATAAACAACATAATTAAATTAATAAAAATAATTAATAACTATTAAAAAATAATAAAATGATTAAAATTTAAATAATCAATAAAAACTAATGGTTACTAATTAATAATTAATAGTATCATGAATAAAAAATAAGTAAATACATAATAATTTATAATAATTACTAAAAATAATTAATAACTATTAAAAAATAATAAAATGTTTAATAAGGGAATAAACATTGGCTTTTGGTGCCATTAGATAATTTAGACCCTGCACAAGTTGGGGCCAAAGAGAGAGAGACAGAAAGAGAGATCCACTCGCCATTGAATTAGAAATATGGATTAATTCTACAATGTTAAAGCAAATTAATTAGCAGTTAATACTTCATTTCCATGTCTTCCTTTATAAATAGCAACCACTGTGTCAATGGATATTAATTTGAGATAGACACAGTCATTACTTGTCATCACCATTGCTTTTACTTCTATTCTCCACCATTAAACCTTGAAATTATTTGGGCAAATGTCCCTGCATCATAAACCTTGAAATTAAAGGGCAAGAGGACCAAGTCCAGAAAAATCATCACCACACGTAAAGGTGGAATTACTTCATTGGAAAATTTATTCACCAAAACATTTTGCATTGCCCAAATGTCAAAAGAGAAACAAACTAAACGACTATTCCAGAAAATTGATAATCAAAACACGTAAACAAGGAGGCTCTTTCAAGAAATTTAAAACCCTACAACAAAATCTCACCGAATTCATACTTCCCCAAGTATTCAGAATCAAAAAAAAAAAAAAAAGAAATCAATTATCGCATAGCAAAACAAGAAGATTTGGCATTCAAGTAAATTTAAAAAAATAAATATCCACAGAAATAAACCCAACCTTGTTATCATCATCACTAGACCCAATAACAACGAACCTAAATGAAACAAACCCTCATGAAAAGAAGTGCTAAAATTCCAAAAATCGAAATAAAGATACCTTCGATGAAGAAAGAAGAAACGAACTGGTAGGCGCCTGTAACCCTGAAACAATAAAGGTTTTTAGTTAAGAAATCTGAAGAAAGAAGAAACGAAACTGTAAACGAACCTTCCAGGCGCCTGTACCGCCATACCTTTGCTTTCACAAGAGCAGAGAGTTTCGTGGGTTTGGGGGTTTTTGCGTCTGGTAGGATTGTCGTCTTGGGTTTGGGGGGCGCCAGGGGTATGCACGTCATTCTAAAAAATATAAAGGATATTTTCGACATTTTCATGGCTCTAAAATGCGTGATTAAACTTTCAGATCAAACAAGTAGGTTGGTGTCTCGGTTAAGACGTGTCTGACATGTTCGGGCTGTTGATGCACCCATAGTCCCGTACGACACCGCATGTGTCCTTATCTATTTTCTTGTGAAACGGGGGTAAGTGGGCTTATAGCTGCCAAGTATGTGTCGTACTAGTATACATCTCGAGATGACTATCCTATGCAAACGGAGGAGAGAGAGTAGGTCGGAGGCATTTGTGGGCTGCCCAGGTCAAACAAGTAGGTTGGGGGCGTGGTGTAATCAAATTGGAAGAATGATAGGCCAAGTGAGGATGGAGTTTGCTTGGGCTGCATAAGCCGATCTATCGAGGAGCATGTCCAAGCAAGTGTGTTGCCAAGATGCCATAACGCGTTTCTGTCATCACATGGCAGAATATAATTGGAGGAGAAAATTAGGACTGCTCATAGTTTTGTAGGCCTTAACCGAACTGGTACTATCGGTTTTTTGAAAATCGGTAATCAAAATTGAATCAAAACCAAATGGTTAATCGGTTGATCAGTTGGGTTAATCGTCGATTCGATTCATTAGTTTTTTTAATTTTTATAATATATATATAAAATGTTATATTTTAAATAATAAATAACATATCATATATTATATATATAAATATATGTATATCGGTCGGTTCGGTTAACCACTGCTTTTATATATTGGTTAATCAAAACCGAACCGATATCTTCTATTTTTAAAAACACTGAACCAAAACCGAATCAATTCATTTGATTAACCGTTTTTTTATTCAGTTTCTGTCGATCAGTTCGTTTTTTTTTCTCACCCCTAGGAAAAATCAACCCTCATCAAAAGTTATGGAAGTAATTCATAAATCACAAATTGACTTTTGGTAACAATTACTTATTAGAGGTGGTGCTTCGTACTATTGCCATTTTTTTTGGAAAAACGCTACTAGTTCATAACCATGTATGCATTGTGTCAAAGGAAAATCACTTCTTATTTGATTGACAATTTATTATTATTTTTTAGATAAATGTTATCAAATTTTTGTTAAACAGTGTATGCCCTTAGCTCCAATCAGAATGATGTACCTTATGACATTTAATGTAAATGAATAAAATACATATTTGATTCATGTTATCATGGTGTATTTCTGTGTAATACCCTTAAACTGGACACATATGAGACTCGTGTTAGTTTAGAATCTTCACAGCCGTTGGATAGATCTGGGGAGATTTATCCTGCCAATGCCGACACTGATGTGCCACCAAGTTGGTTGGGGTAGCTTGCCTCAGCTGCTAGGGTGAGACCTGAGGTACATGCAATGTGGGTTTTCTTGAAACCCTGAACCGGATTAGAATTCCAGTATTGCCCTGGACCTTGGAGATAGATGGGCAAAATTGGAATGTTACACTTGACCCCTAGACTCGATTATGATATTACACTAGGTGTCAGATTGGGCTGTCTTTGATATGCCAATCAGTGAGATCCTTAGAGGGGGGGTCAAAACCTGAGTATTTTGGGACAGTTCGGAAATTCATTTGAGTGGGTGATCATAGTGACAGGATCAGCCCTTTTGTCGGACAAAGTAAATGATCGGGGATACACTCTCTGATGGAAACCAAAGCTGTCGGCAGCCGATTTCAACCATTGAAATTTGTTTTGCAATATATATATATGTGGTTTCAAAATGTTTGCAAAAGGTTTTAATTCCCGGGATCCATGTGAGTTTGCAAAAGGTTTCAATCAGAATGATGTACTTTATGAGTTTATTGTAAATGAATAAAGATACATATTTGATTCATGTTCCTTTGGTATGTTTCTGTGTAATACCCTTAAACTGGACACTTAATGAGACTCGTGTTAGTTTAGAATGTTCACAGCCAGTGGGTCGGTCTGGGGAGACCTA